AATGCTTAACGTGTTGGTGTGAAATGCCTTGCATTATTTTTGACTTGATAAATGACCCCCCCTTTTAAAATAGATTTAATTTCGATGGGTTTACAATAACATGCTAATGCCTCCGCGTAACTAACGGAGGGAGGAATTTCACATTGACATGTTGGCTGTTGCATTGTCCGCACACTGAGTTTTAGGGCCAACGTGTTTTCCTTATCCCATTAGATTTTTCTCTTTTCTTTTCCTCAAATGCCATGCCATGCTGGTGGCTTGTCATGCAATGGGGCAATGGTTTGACCTCCGAAAGCAGCAGAGTTCGACTTTGACAGCTCAGAGTGGAATAAATTGTCCCTTTCTTGCAGAGATCATTATTATAAGCCAAGATTATTACATCTTGCAGACACCGGGATACATTCCTAATATTAATGGTTAGAATATGGCACACGTTTGAATTCCCACTTGTTTCTGAGATTTTTTTTTTCTATTCATTTGTGGGATGTGGGTGTCGCTGCCTGGCCAGCATTTCTTGCCCGTCCCTAGTTGCCCTTCAGAAGGTGGTGGTGAGCTGCCTTCTTGAACCGCTGCAATCCTCCTGCTGTGGGTTGACCCACAATGCTATTAGGGAGGGAATTCCAGGATTTTGACCCAGCAACAGTGAAGGAACGGCGATGTATTTCCAAGTCAGGATAGTGAGTGGCTTGATGGGGAACTCAGAGGAGGTGGTGTTCCCATATGTCTGATGCCATTGTCCTTCTAGATGGAAGTGGCCGTGGATTTGGAAGGTGCTGTCTGAGGATCTTTGGTGAATTTCTGCAGTGCATCTCGTAGATAGTACACACTGCTGCTACTGAGTGTTGGTGGTGGAGGGAGTGAATGCTTGTGGAGTTGGTGCCAATCAAGTGGGCTGCTTTGTCCTGGATGGTGTCAAGCTTCTTGAGTGTTGTTGGGGCTGCACTCATCCAGGCAAGTGGAGAATAGATGCAAAGCTCTCTAAAGTTGTACGTTTACCTCATAGTCCACTTCTCTACCCATCCCCCATTTTTGTTTTTTTGGAAAATTTTCACTCAAAATGCCTGGGAGTGGCTAGTAGGTGCAGTCATCAACAGAATTTGAGAGAGATTGTTTTGGGTACACATGTCCATTTTGCTGTTGTTTAAAACATCTATCCCTGTTTAAAAATTTAGAAGCGTTTAGCACGCATTCTTGATTTGACAATTTTTAGAGAAATATTAATCTGTGGAAGTTCAGAGCCAAGCTTCCAGAGTACAACATGTACCCATAGATTCACCAGAACCCCGTTCCTGCGTCAAAGTTACAGAACAAATGAAATCCTGCTGTGTGACAAAAATCTTACATTGGCCTTGCAATTTGCTGTATCGGAGGAATTTACCAGATTGCTTTTTCAATGCACATTTTTGGATTGAATATATCCTCCCAAACACATTGGCATTTTATTACAATACTATATTTTAAGACTGTAAGCACAAATACTGTGAACTCAGCATTTTCACCAGAAAATTGATGTTACATGAGAAAAATGTTTGTATACAGGACATTACAAATTTGTACTTTTTTGTAGGAAATAAATACATGGAAGTATTTTTCTTTTCATCTCGAAGAATAAGCACAGCTTGGTACATATGTTAATTGTAAGGCTGATTTCATTATACTGAGTGCTGTTGTCCATTTCTACTTCAGTGAGTTCTAAGACACCGTGTTCTTTTTCAATGGAAAGTGTTGGGATTGGGTCTAATCATCATAGTAACAGACTTCAGGGAGTAAGCACCCCCTCTGAACTCTGCCCAGTACACTCCATCCTGGTACTTGCTGCGATAATGTCCACCACGGTACCATACACCATTGAGGTTTGAATGTGCACAGGCGTTATACCACCAGCCACCTTTCTGATAGTGCGCACAGTTACCTAAAAAAAAAAGAAAACTCCATCTTACAAGTGTTGAAAAATACTTGTGAGAGGATCATTCAAGTTGATTCCTCTGTTCTGTAAGGAAACTGTTATTTTCATTTTGAATTTTTCTTTACGTAAATAGATTGTAGGGCTCCCCTTACCATGCACAAACCTGGCTATGCCTGTCATGGTTTAAGGCCAACATTTTTGTGCCAACATTTCTGATTGACAGTGGTCTGCCATTAGTTTTGTGATGCCAATGGTCTCACTGCACTTGCAACATCTGGCAATTTGGTGCCACTGTGCAGAGTTTCTGAAGTCTGTCAGTTCCATTGGGATTTACTTACTTTTTTTGAAAAAAGAAGTACCTAAATTCATCAAACAATGTGGGGACATTACTGCAAGCAATCTGATATCACTCTCATCTGTGTTAGGCTTAGGCTTGTGTACGTTGAATCCTCCTCTCGAATTGGTGAGGTGGAGGGAAGATGAGAGTTTAAAAACAAAAGTAGTGATTAATGAACTTAGATTTTCATTTTCTAGATTTGTTTCTTAAAGTCTGAGGAAGGTACATTTTATGGCTTTGGAAAGGATTGACTAAGAATAGGTCTAAGTCCTAATTCTGACAGGCCAAACATAAAGATATAGAGGAGAGTAAAACTACCTGAGGTGTTGAGGTGAATAAGTAGAAACATTCTTGCAGCATTTTAAATGTAATTTGAGAAGTGCCACAGTTGATTTTTGACTCTGGCTTTCTGTAAAGTTGCTGTTACCTGTGTATGCATCACGGTCTCTGTCCAGTGTAGTAAACTGTTTTCCATTGTGCCAAGTAAAGGAATCGCCAGCGTTTCCATGGTAACGTCCCAACCGAAGCTTGTAATTGTCAGCCTCGGACTCCAGTCTGAAGCTGGCATATTCAGCAAACACCTTCCGTCCCTGCCAGTCCTCCATGGTAATTGACAGCTTGTAATTCCCTTGGTTTGTCAACCAGTAAATGTTTTCCAGACCAAGCCAATACTCCCCATCGATGTTTCCGAACCCTTGCTGTGGTAAAATATCAGAATATCACGAAGGTTAACATGCTTGAATTCAGAATACTCCAACGATTTTGCTTTTACTGTAATTTGGTTTCCAACTTACCTGATAATCAAAGCTCCCAAAAGAATGATGGGAGAAAGAGCTTGTAAATACTACCACAAGGATCAGCACATTGGCCAGTTATCAGTCTATGACTGCCTGAAGGCGTTGCAATTATGCTTTCTGTCAGGCCTCTGAGTTATTTGTACGCTTATAAGTGTGTTTTATATCTCAAAGCAGTCTGTGAGGTTCTGACTGTCGTGTAATTCTGTCATACTGATATGTTTATTCTTTGCTCCTTGCATTGAGTGAAGATTGTGCATTAACCTCTCCTCCCTGTAATAATTCATTAAGGAGTTACTGGCTTCTTATAAATACTTTAAAAAGGCTGCAGCAGATAAAATTAAGTATCTTTTCCAAACCTCCTTTAATCTCATTAAGCCCAATTTATTTATCATAACTTGTGTATCTGCTGTGTCTCACTTGGCAGCACTTTCTTGTCTGAGTCCCAAGGTTCCTGTTCAAGTCCCATTTCAGGGCTCAAGCGCAGAAATTGAGGCTGGCTTTCTAGTACAGCACTGAAGATGCACAGTTTTCTTGGAGGTGCTATATAATTGATGAGACATCAAATTATGGTCCCATCTGCCGCCTCTACTGAATCAAAAAGATGTCCATGGCATTATTTTGAAGACAAGTGCAGGAGTTATCCCTGGTGTCCTAGCTAATACTTATCTTCAATTCCACATCACAAAAGTAGACGATCTGGTCATTGTCATATTGTTGGAGCTTGCTGAGTACAACATTGACTGCCATGTGTCTTACATTACAACAAAAATTCCAAAGTACTTCATTGGTTATAAGCTAATTGTTCATTGGCTGAAAAGTGTTATATAGGCTTTTTTCTTCCCTAATGTTTCACTTAGTGTGGCAAAAGAATGTTGGATCTATTAAATCTGTTTAGGAAATTGTGGAGAAATATATCAGGTCAGTATGGATACAGTAACGCCCACTTAATTTAGCTTTATTGAATGTTGTTTCACTTTGACAACATCGTGTCAGCGTTACCATTTAATGTTGTTTGCCAGATTAAAAGTTATTCTACTTAAAATAGCAATTTTTGGAATGCAACCACAACTTTAAGTGAGGGCTTAATGTGAAGTAGATCCATGATATTACCAACTACAGGAGGACAGTAGAACAAGAAGTGAATGAATGTTTTGAACAAGTATGGATGAAAGATTCTTAATGCAAGGAATTTGGAGAGATTTAAGAGAGACTCAGATTTAGAGAGTGGCAAAAAGACTAATGTTTTATTTGTTTGTACAGTTATTTCTGCAAATGCTTGTTCTGCTAATGCTGTATACAGGTCGGTGTATGGCAGTAAAAAACTTATTTGTGCAGCTGTAAACCAACTATAGCAAAATGTGACCCATCAGTTTGGGGGTTTGCTGTTTTGAACAAAAACAAATTTGCTGGAAAAGCTCAGCAGGTCTGGCAATACCTGTGAAGGAAAAAAACAGAGTTAACGTTTCGGGTCCGGTGACCCTTCCTCAGAACAGATTAACAAAACGTTAACTCTGTTTTTTCCTTCACAGATGCTGCCAGACCTGCTGAGCTTTTCCAGAAAATTTATTTTTGTTCCTGATTTACAGCATCTGCAGTTCTTTCAGTTTTTAATTGAGTTGTGCTGTCGACTTCAAAAACTGTAATCAGAAATCCAAGGTTTGGTTTGCCTTCTGAATCCCACAAATTCCATTTCTATGTTAAACATGATACCAAGGTAAAATACTGGATGCTAAAATAAAAGAAACCACAGGAGGAATTCCGCAGGTGAGGACAAAGTTTAGTTATATCAGACTTAACTGGATTGGGTTAAATGCTAGCTCTGTTTCTGTCACCTGTGAGTTTCTACTGCACTCAGCTTTTGCATCATAATTAAAAAAAAGACTTGAATTTTCAAAAAGGAGATGGAATCAAGGTGCACAGGAGGAGGCCATTCAGCTCACCATCTCTGCCAGCTCTTGAAAGAAGGTCCAATTAGACTGACTCCCTTGCTCTCTCCCTTAGTCCTGAACATGTCTCCTTTTCTCAACAAATATACAACTCCCGTTTTAAAATGTTCTCTTGTGTCTTGTTCTAGTCTGGGCTGTAAAAATCTTTTCAATAAAAATATCTTAACCACACCTTTGGCTACGTGTTATTAATTGCATTCTAGAATCTCTCCAGCATCTTTTCCTTTTGGATATTTTGAATGGGGCAATATGGAAAACAGTTCAGTTGAAGGCTCAGATGTTCATGCACTCGCCTCTGAACTTGCATTTTAGGAGAAACTTTTCCTTTCTATTTAGAAAAGAATAAATATTTGCAATGGATAATTCATGATGTAAAATGCTACAAATAACCAGCATTCTAATTTTTTTAGGAGGCTCAGTGATCTTTATCAATTTTCATTTAATATTCTGAAGAACCTTTTAAAATAGGAAAATGCCATTCAGCCCTGAAGGTTGGTGCTGTGCCTAAGCAGCCTCCCTCCAAACTTCAGCTCACCCTAACAGTGCACTTCTCAGTGCCTTCTCTCCCTTGCCTACTTTTCTAACCTCCTTTTTGAGATGCACAGGCCCACGTTTTTGATTTAAAGCCAACTTGCTCTCATGAAAGCCTCACTCACCTTGTAGGTCTCCCAGTTACGGAAGAAATTCACTGATCCGTCCTGTCGTCTCTGGATGACTGTCCAACCGCCAGGATCGTGCGTTTGGTCACACCAGACCTGCATGAGGCGGTTTGTGTTTTCAGGTTTCAGCAAGTAGATACCAGTGGCTTCATTGCCAGCTTCTGAGGCTTCTAAACAATCTTTCCACGGCCCTGCAGAACATCGATTGAAGAAATGCAAAGCATGTTAAACCCTTTTGGGAGACAGCACCGTTTAATTAGGGGTCGACTGGATCTCCTGTAGTCTATTCACAGTAAGTTGCATGATCTCCAAATGCAACAGCGTTGGAGAATGAGATACATGCAGGGAATTAAACAACAGTCTGCCACCGAGTCCATTTAAATGTTCCAAAGTCTCAGTGTTGTCAAGAGAACCTGTGATTATCAATTAGGAAATAAAACTAAATTAAAATAAATATTTTTGATGGATTGGCCATGCTAAATTGTTATAGTGTCCAGGGATGTGCAGGCTATGTGGATTAGCATGGGGAATGCAGTGTTACAGGGATAGGATCGGGGTGGGGGTGGGTCTGGGTCGGATGCTCTTCAAAGGGTTGGTGTGGACTCGATGGGCCAAATGGCCTGCTTCCACACTGTAAGGACTCTATGATTCTGTAATTTTTCAGTGAGGCTTTGAAACCTGCAGTTTCTGTTTGAATGTTGGATGGGAGGCTGTGTCTGTCTTTTCTCTGATAGTTACACACAGCCATTCTCAGTAATAGTGTTGGGCGCCTCCTTTTCACATGGTAGGAACCATGCTTGCCTCCAGGAAGATAACAGAAATCCTGTCAGCAATCTTTCTTTTTCCTCATTTCAGTCACCTTCCACAGCACCAAAGCATTAGTTGAAGCCGAGAGAAGAAATGCAACCTCCTCTTTAAGAGGCTTATTCACCCCATGAAGCTTCCAGTGTAGATGGCTGATCTGCCACCAATACAATCAGCTAAACAGCAGGACAGTCTGATTGCAACAGTGCCCCTGCAATTGCCCAGTCAGCTGCACCTGAATAGCTTCACTACTTTTGGGTATTTGCCTACAATTGTGGACCCCTTGTTCCTATTCCACCATAATTTAAAATTGTTAGTCAGATGAAACACTGTACTTCTAATTTTAAGGAACACACCGTGCTCTTCTTTCAGCCAAAAAGTGAACAGCGTTGCTGAAATGGAAAATGGCTCTGGAATTCCAAGGTGCAGAGGGATCTGGGTGTTCGAGGGTATGAGTCACATCAGCTTAGTACACAGTTGCAGCATGTAATCAAGAAGGTTAGGGATGCTAACATTTATTATGATGGGAATTAAACAAAGAAGTGAGGATGTTGCGCTTCAATTATGCAGGATATTGGTGGGAACCATCTCTGAAATATAGGGCGCAATTTTGATCTCCTTTATTGAAGGGAGAATGTAGATGCTTTGGAGGCAGTTCTCCAAGATGATTTCCTAGTTAGGCACTTGGAATAAGTGGCATGTCTTATGAAGAAAGTTTGGACCGATTAGGCTTGTTTTGACTAAAGCTCAGAAGAGTGAGGGGTGATTTGATTGAAGTGTATGAAATCCTGAATGATGTTGAGAAGATGGACATGCAAAGGATGTTTATTGCAGTAGATAAACCCAGAAATACGGGCCACTGTTTTCAAATTAGGAGTCACTCTTTCAGGACAGATGTGAATTTTTCCTGAGACTGTGGGACATTAGAACTCTCTTCTTCAGAAGACATTGAAAATTGTGAGGTAGAGAATTTCATCGAATGTTTTTAAGACCAGGGCAGATTGTTGTTTGGGGAATAAAGGGTTATCGGGTAGATAGGAATTTGGAATTCAAAAACAAACTGATCAGCCATGATCTTGTTGAATGGCAGAGCAGGCTTGAAGAGCCAAATGACCTGTTTCTCCTCTTAATTTTGAACGTATGTTTGTAGACTGATGTAACACTTATTGAGCAGATTCAGCAGATTTACACCTGTTCAGGAAGGAGAAGTTTGGAGACCTGCTTTTGATGCAGTTGACTGCTTGATCTGCTAACAAAGGGAGTATCAGTTCACTCACTAAACCAGGCTGTCACCTAATGACAATAAGTTTGAGAAATACAGCTGACAGGCTCAGTTTTCCTTTGGGGAACTTCGAACAGTGCAAGTGAAGTGTGTTTTGGCTCCTGTCCTGGACAGAAGCAAGCTCAGCTCGATAAAACATCCAAGAACAGCCCTGGCTTGTAGTCCAGATCGAAGCTGGAGATTGGCTCTTCTAGGTATGGTTATGGGGTTAAAGATTGAATAGTTGGGCAGGTTGTTTGCATTGTAAATAAATGTGTAAATTTATATATTGGAAAGTATCTGTGTGTATGTGTGTATATATGCATTTTATTGAGAATGTGAGATTGTGTGTGACTGTATTAAAATTATCCGCATCATATTATTGATAACACGCAGATATTGAATCCGTGTACTTGCATAAGACATCTTTATGGTTGGAAAACTTTGATAAAGCCGAATGAGGTTGCAATACTCCTACAAACGTATTAATGCTGACATATTATGCCTCAAGTGTTATGGACAAATGCAAGGTGCACCTCCCTGTGCTATGCAGTACGGCATGGAAGAATGGCAAAAACTGTCGCAAAGTACAATAGCATCATTTTCAACCATTCGCCCAAAATAAAATTATTTTCTTTTTGTAGATAGAGTTCAATGATCTTTGGTGAGGACCTCGGCTCACAGTGAGCCTGAGTCGCAGAATCAGCACCGTGATCCTGTGGCCTTATCTCTAACCCTTTCATCCTTTTCGCATGGAAATTCTCTCTGCAGCTTTTGGAATGTAGGCCATTCGGCCCTTCAAGCCTGCCTCGCGATTCACTATGATCATGGCTGATCATACAACTCGGCACTCTGGTCCTGCCTTCCCCCCCATATCCTTCGACCCTTTCATTTCCATGAACTACTTTTAAATCCTTTCAGACATTAAAATGTTTTGCCCTCAACCGTTTTCTGTGGCAGAGAATTGTACAGACTCACCAATCTCTCGCTGAAGAAATTTCTCCTCCTCTCAGTCCTAAATGGCCTACCCTGTATCCTTAAACTGTGACCCCTGACTTACTGGTCTTTTGCAACATCTTTCTTGCATTCACCCAGTCTGGTCCTGTTAGAATTTTATTCTTCTAAACTCTAGTGTATATAATCCAAATCTCATTTCTCTCATTCATCAGTCCTAAAATGCCAGAAATTGGTCTGGTAAACCTTTTATTCTTCTTCATTCATGGAATGAGGGCATCGCTGGTTATGCTCGCACTTGTCCATCCCAGAGAGAGGTTAAGAACCAACCACATTGCTGAAAGTCTAGTGTCATATATAGGCCAGACCAGCTATGGATGACAGTTTCCTTCCTTCAAGAACATGAGTGAACCAGATCGGTTTGTTTCCTGACAATTGACGATGGTCATTAGACTCTTAATTCCAGATTTTTATTGAATTCAAATTCTACCATCTTCCAGGATTCGAACCTGCATCCCCCAGAACATTATCTGGGTCCCTGGTTTAAAGTCCAGTGACAACGTTACCAGGCAATCACCTCCCCTGCACTCCCCCCATAGCCAGAACATCCTTCCTCAGATAAGGTGACCAAAACGGCACACAATACTCCAGACGTGGTCTCACCAAGGCCCTGTACAGTTGCAGCATGACATCCCTGCTCCTGTACTTGAATCCTCTCACTATGAAGGTCAACATGCCATTAGCCTCCCTCACTGCCTGCTGCACCTGGATGCTTACTTTCAGTGACTAGTGTACAAGAATACCCAGATCTAGCTGCATCTCCCCTTTTCCCAGTCCTTCACGATTCAGATGAGAATACCCTTTCCTGTTGCTATGATCAAAGTGGATAACTTCCCTGTTTATCCATATTATACTTCATCTGCCATGCATTTACAGTCACTCAAACTGTTCAAATCACACTGAAGCTCACCCTCCCACAGCCTTGTATTGTCTACAAACATGGAGAAATTATATTTAGATCTCTCATTATAATCATTAATGTATATTGTGAACAGCTGGGGTCCAAGCACTGATCCCTGCCAAACCTCACTAGTCACTTGCTGCCATTTGGAAAATAGTCCATTTATTATGACTCTTTGTTTCCTGTCTGCCAACCAGGTCTAGATGACTTACTAGAATGTTGCCAGGGCTGGAGAATTGTACCCATGAAGAGAGGTTAGGGATGTTTTCCTTGGAACAGAAAAGGCTGAGGGGTAACATGATTTGAAGTCAACAAAATTGACAGGGGAAGAAAGAGAAGGCAGGAGGAACCTGTTTCCCTTGCTAGAAACTTCAAAAACCAGGGGTCAGAGATTCAAGCTCAGTGGCGGAAGGATTAGCAGAGATGTGAGGAAAGCTTTTTTTACACGGAGGGTGGTGGGTGTCTGGAATTCGATGCCTGAGTTGATGGTGGAGGCTGACTCCCTAAACACTCTCAAAGTCCCTGGACTGGCACCTTAAGTGCTTTAAGCTACAGGGCTATGGGCCGTGTGCAGGAAAATGGGATTAGAAAGGGCGTCAGCATGGACAAGCTGGGCCAAATGGCCCTCCTCTGTGCTGTATCTTCTCTATCCATGTCTGTGCACCATCCCACCCCAATCCTATGTGCTTTTCTTTTACAAGCTAGTATCTTGCCCAGATTATCGAGTGCTCAGATTTGACGTGGTGCTCAGTGGGTCTGTAATTGTAAACATGGTTAAAATTTTGTTGGTGTTCCTGAAAATCCACATTTGCAAGTGGTGTAATTGAAGGATTAAACTATCGGAAAGATTTGGTCTCGACAGAATGATGATTTGTTTGTGTGAGTGTTAACTATTTCTTTTTTTTTAAATTCACTCCTCGGATTGTAGGCGTTGCTGGTTTGACTAGCAGGCCATTCCCTAGTTGCTATTAAGTTGTTGTCCTCTATTACACATGGACTCATGCCAAGCAAATATTCTGCACCATAGCGGGGTAATGAAGTATCTTCACTGTCTATTGCATCTCGCACGGGGTTAATCACTAATGGAGTTAGATCACAAAGGGAAACAGGGTGTAAACAAGAATTTGATGGTAACCAACAACCAAATAATCTGTCCCTCCTGTTATTAGATCTCTCAGTTTACAGGAATGTTATAGTTTGTGGAGGAAAAG